TTGTTTGTCCCTCAGTCCTCCATCTTGGTTATTGCAAACATGCTCTTTCCACTCCACATATCAAGGTTATCCTAAGGATTACAGAGTTATTGTATATCAAATACTTTGAACATTTGATGTAAATAGAACTTGAGAATGGAAAAAGTGCTGAATACAAACAACAGATACATATCTTTTCACTGAGCATGGATTTATTGGAGAGTATTATATTTCACATTTGACAGCCTCATGGTGTAGTAGGTTCCTGGTGTTTTTAAAAACATATGTTTTGTTTTGTTTTAAAACTACAATTTTTGAGTAAATACCCCTTCAGCAAACCAAGAATGACATAAAACGCAACCATAAAGTACTCAACAATTTTGCTTTCTTCTTATCTACTACTTTAAGTATTTGTCTCCCATTTCCAGATATGAAAATAGAAGGATTTCTCGTCATTTAACTGAGAGCCAGTAAGAATGTGGCCTTAGGGGAAAACAATGTGGAAAAATACCATTATTTTTCTTTTAGTCAAGGACAACCCCCCCTTCCCCCCAATGTTTTTTAATAATAAAATGAGACGTTTGCAACCCACAGACTGCCAGCATCTCTTGGAAGGTCCTGCATGGAACTGTACTGGTATTTGAGGAAAGGTTACTAAGGTTCAGAGGCCCACACAATCAGAATAGATACATTTTAAATTTGATTTTTAAAAATATTGGCATATGTATGTTCACTCATCCTGCAAAACACTAAAAATAGCCTAAATGCAGTTTCAGTATGGTCAGTGGGGATTAAATGAGCACTGTTTTGGAGACTAAAGAGAGAGTGTCTGGAGAAGAAACACAGCAGTGGAAATTCTGAACGGAGGCCATTTCAAACAATTATACTATTTTGACACCACTTTAACTATTATTTTGACACTCTTTAGATCCCAAAATTTGTGGTTTAGGGTGGGATTCCGGGTCTTTCCAGACAGGCCCTATATCCCAGGGTCTGATCCCAGGTTTTCTGTTTATCCCCGATTACCTAGCAATGCAGACTCATATAATCCAGTTTAAAACAGAAACCTGGGATCAGATCCTGGGATATAGGGCCTGTCTGGATGGGCCCTCTGTAAACAAGAATCTAATATCTCACTTCTAGGAATGTTTCAGAAATGGAATTAATGTGAATTATATCTGTTGTCTTCTAAAGAATCACGATTGAGCAGTGTACATTCATCTGACCATAATAGTTCATTTTAAAATGAAGGCTTTTGCACTTAAAAAAAAAGTATGTAAATATGTGAAATACCTGCATTCTGGTTTTTGAAAAATCAAAGTACAACACACAAACAAACATATACAGACATAAACAACAAATAATCTTAAAGATTTTTAGGTGACCATAATAACAGAGATGCATTGTAGCATTGTAGCGGTTTGAGCATTGTACTTGTTTGACTCCTTGCTTGGCCATGGGAAACCACTGGATGACCATGGGCAAGTAATACATTCTGACCCTCAGAGGAAGGCAAAGGCAACCCCCCTCTGAACAAATCCTGTCAATAAAACCTTGTGTTAGGTCAGAAAAGATGTGTAGACTCACAACAATAATACTTTGCTTTTATAAAGAGCCAGAGCTAGAAGATGTGGTCTCCAATTCGGCTCTGGTCTCCCAGCACTTGCATATATTGGGGGACTTTAACATTCATGCAGACACCACCTTAACAGGAGCGGCTCAAGACTTTATGGTTGCCATGACGACCATGGGGCTATCACAAGTTATATCTGGACCCACCCATCAGACTAAACATACACTCGACCTAGTTTTTACTGTGGACAGCGGAATGGACAAGGTGAAAGAGCAAAATATTCTTCCATTGTCATGGTCTGACCATCATCTGATCAGTTTTAGACTTGCTATGACCTCTATCGTTCGCAGAGGTGGAGGACCAATTAAGATGGCCCGTCCCAGGAGAATGATGGATCCAGATGGATTCCTGAGGAATCTTTGGGCAATTCCTGTCATGGAGGCTGGCAACCCTGTCGATGACCTGGTTGATCACTATAACAGTGAGATGGCCAGGGTGATAGACACAATCGCTCCCGAATGTCCCCTCTCACTGCACAGAGTCTCGCCATCTCCTTGGTTCACTGAGGATTTTGGTTGAGATGAAGCGCACAAGAAGGGGTCTAGAGTGCATCTGGAGGAAACCTTGGGGTGTCTCCGACCGAGCATGGGCTAGAGCAGGGGTCCTCAAAATTTTTAAACAGAGGGCCAGGTCACAGTCCCTCAAACTGTTGGAGGGCCAGATTATAATTTGAAAAAAAATGAATGAATTTCTATGCACACTGCACATATCTTATTTGTAGTGCAAAAAAAACCACTTAAAAACAATACAACTATTAAAATGAAGAACAATTTTAACAAATATAAACTTATTAGTATTTCAATGGAAAATGTGAGCCTGCTTTTGGCTGATGAGATAGGATTGTTGTTGTGTGCTTTCAAGTCGTTTCAGACTTAGGTTGACCCTGAGTGAGGGCCGGGTAAATGACCTTGGAGGGCCGTATCCGGCCCCCGGGCCTTAGTTTGAGGACCCCTGGGCTAGAGACTCAATTAGGGCCTATACTGCAGCTATGCGGGCAGGCGAGACCTTCTCGACTGTCTGCATAGCGTCTGCATCCAATAGATCTTCGGAGCTGTTTTGGGTCGTTGAGGAGCTCCTTCATCCTCCTGAGGTGGAGGCCATTGACGACCCAACAGCTCGGTGCTGCTATTTCGGGCACCATTTTGCGGATAAAGTCACTCGGATACGCCTCGAGCTAGATACCAGCTTAAATACAGTGCCCGAGGAGGTGACCGAGGCATCTGCTTGTCCGGTTTTGTGGGATTCTTTCCAGCTTGTTCATCCTGATGATGTGGAGGGGATCCTTGGGGCTGTGAGGGCGACCACGTCGGCTCTGGACCCTTGCTCTTCTTGGCTAATTAAATCGGCTAGAGGTGGGTGGATTGATTAGTTTGTGTTGATCATTAATGCATTGTTGGAGCAGGGGACATTTCCATCTGGTTTGAAACAGGCTGTGGTTAGACCACCCCTGAAAAAGGCTCTCTTGACTCCACGGTTTTGAGCAATTATAGGCCAATCTCCAACCTTCAACTGAAGGTTTCATTCAGTCCCCCCATGCTTTTTAACATCTACATGAAACCGCTGGGAGAGGTCATCTGGAGTTTTGGAGTTGGATGCCATCTCTACGCAGATGATGCCCAACTCTACTACTCTTTTCCACCTAATTCCAAGGAAGGCCCTCAGGTACTGGATGAGTGCCTGGCCACTGTGGCTGTCTGGATAAGGATGAATAAGCTGAGGATCAATCCTGTCAAGACTGAGGTCCTTCTGGTCAACCGGATTGGGGTATAGGGTGGCAACCTGTGCTGGATGGGGTTGCACTCCCCCTGAAATCACAGGTCCGCAGCTTGGGTGTCCTCCTGGACTCATCGCTAATGCTTGAAGCCCAAGCGTCAGTGGTGGCTGGGAGGGCCTTCGCACAATTAAGACTTGTGCGCCAGCTGTGACTATACCTCGTGAAGTCAGATCTGGCCAGGGTGGTCCATGCCTTAGTCACCTCCAGATTGAATTATTGTAATGCACTCTACATGGGGCTGCCCTTGAAAATGGCCCAGAAATTGATACAACAGGCGGCAGCCAGGCTACTAACTGGAGCGACTTACAGGGAGCGGTCAATCCCCCTGTTTAAGGAGCTCCATTGGCTGCCGTTCATTTCCTGGTCTCAATTCAAGGTGCAGATTCTTACCTACAAAGCCCTGAATGGTTTGGGACCCGCCTACCTGCGTGATCGTATTCTGTGATCTCTTTGATCATCTGGAGAGGCCCTGCTCTTGCTCCCACCCCTTCGCAGGCACGATTGGTGGGGACGAGGGAGAGGGCCTTCTCTGTGGTGGCCCCCCAACTCTGGAACTCACTCCCCAAGGATATCAGAAAAGCCCCCACATTGGCAGTCTTTAGGAGGAGCCTGAAAACGTGGCTGTTCCAGTGTGCCTTCCCTGAATAAAGGAAACAATTCCCTGCAAAATATCCTGAGAAGCACTTTAATTACCCGTTGGGTTGCTCCCCCTACTTTTCGTTTAAAACCCTCCTACTAGATACATCCTACCTCTTTCTATGTCCAGCGTTTATTCTTATTATATTATTATTATTATTATTACATTTTGCCCCCAAAACTGCTTTAATAGGTTATGTTTACATTTTTAATTGTATGTTTTTGTATTATCGAAGGCTTTCATGGCTGGAATCACTAGGTTCTTGTGGGTTTTTTTGGGCTATAGGGCCATGTTCTAGAGGCATTTCTCCTGACGTTTCGCCTGCATCTATGGCAAGCATCCTCAGAGGTAGTGAGGTCTGTTGGAACTAGGAAAAAGGGGTTTATATATCTGTGGAATGACCAGGTTGGGACAAAGGACTCTTGTCTGCTGGAGCTAGGTGTGAATGTTTCAACTGACCACCTTGATTAGCATAAAATGGGCTGACTGTGCCTGAAGCAAACTTTTGTTGAGAGGTGATTAGATGTCCCTGCCTGCTTCCTCTCTGTTGTTGTGCTGTTGCAAGTTTTTTTATACTGGTAGCCAGATTTTGTTCATTTTCATGGTTTCTTCCTTTCTGTTGAAATTGTCCACATGCTTGTGGATTTCAATGGCTTCTCTGTGTCGTCTGACATGGTGGTTGTGAAAGTGGTCCAGCATTTCAGTGTTCTCAAATAATATGCTGTGTCCAGGTTGGTTCATCAGGTGCTCTGCTATGGCTGACTTCTCTGGTTGAAGTAGTCTGCAGTGCCTTTCATGTTCCTTGATTCGTTTGGGCGCTGCGTTTGGTGGGCCCTATGTAGACTTGTCCACAGCTGCATGGTATACGGTAGACTCCTGCAGAGTGAGAGGATCCCTCTTGTCCTTTGTCTGAACGTAGCATTGGATTTTCTTGATGGGTTTGTAGATTGTTTGTATGTCAGGAGAAATGCCTCTAGAACATGGCCATATAGCCCGAAAAAACCCACAAGAACTGAGTGATTCCAGCCATGAAAGCCTTCGACAATACATTGAACATCTCTATGGGGAGAAACTGTTCCAAGACACATGGAAATTGGAAAAACTAAGGACCAGGAAAGCACATCTACTGTGCTCCCTGACTTTCCTTCTACACTGCAGAGACACAGATACCATCCCACAATTTCTCGCAGCCAAAAGGACTTTCAAAACACCACAGGCTCACCGGATCTATGACCACCTGGAACGCAACCTCTTAAGAGAGAGAATTCACACCATCCGCAAAGAACTCGCAAACACAGACAAGGAACTGCTGCATCTCCATATCAACATCAGCCAGAAGATGAATTCCCAGGACTGGGACAAAATAGACAACCTCACTTACAGGAAAATGGAGAAAAACATGGCTGTCCACACCAACAGACAAAAACAAAAATTCCACAAACGACAAAAGCAACAGCCGAAACCAGAACTGGATACATCACGGACCATCATCAACCTGACAGACAGACAACTCTCTGAAGACCAAGTATCCATACTAGCGAAAGGAGGAAACTTTGCTGTAACCGCCACCAGGATCCCAGTAGAAAACATCATTGCCAATGTCGAATCAGCAATTTATCGCCTCCCAGAGGAAGAAGCAGAAGAAGTACGAGCGGAAGCAGCAAGGATCCTGAAAAAGGCAAAACTCCCCTCCAGTAACATTACAAGGAAGGAAAGACAAGCCATTAGAGACCTAAATTCAGATCCTGATATCCTCATTCTGCCAGCAGACAAGGGGAATGCCACAGTAATCATGCATATAGAACAATACAAGGAGAAGATCAGAAAACTCCTGGACCCTACTATATACAGAAAACTTAAGCAAGACCCAACTTCCAAAATAACCAGAAAAACCAACACTCTAATTAAGAACTCCTCAATCAACTTTGACATACGACAGCAGCTATGTAAATCGGAAGCCCTTCCACCCAGGCTTTATGGACTCCCAAAAATCCATAAGGACTCCACCCCACTCAGACCCATCGTGAGTGCCATTGGATCCCCCACATACGACCTAGCAAAATTTCTTGCTGCACAGTTACAAAGCCACATTGGGCTCACTACACACTACATCAAGGACTCAGCCCACTTCATTGAAAAAATCAGCAATCTCAAGCTAAATACAAATGACAAACTGATCAGCTTCGATGTGGTGTCTCTATTTACCATGGTCCCAGTTGCAGACACCATGGCACTCATCAACCAGAGGTTCCCAGAAGACATCACGGCGCTGTTTCACCATTGCCTCACCACCAGCTATTTTCAGTGGGACAATGAATTCTACAAACAGAAAGATGGAGTAGCTATGGGGAGCCCTCTCAGCCCAGTCATAGCTAACTTCTACATGGAACACTTTGAAAAACAAGCTCTTGAAACAGCAACCAAAAAGCCCACTATATGGTTCAGATATGTGGATGACACTTTCACCATTTGGAGCTATGGAGAAGAAGAACTCAACAGGTTCCTGGAACATTTTAACAGCATCCACCCAAACATCCAGTTCACTATGGAAAAAGAAAAGGAAGGAAGACTGCCTTTTCTAGATGTCCTAGTCATCTGTAAACCAGATCAACAATTGGGTCACACTGTTTACAGAAAACCCACACAGACAGATAGATATCTACATAAAAACTCCAACCATCACCCAAGTCAAAAAAGAAGCACCATTAAAGCCTCGGCAGACTGTGCAAAAAGAATCTGTGAACCCCACCTCCTCCAAGATGAACTGAACCACCTCAACTGGGCTCTACAGGCCAATGGATATTCCACCTCAGACATCAGAAGAGCTGCAAGACCAAGAACAAGCCACGAGAGTCAAGATGAAGATCCACCCAGAGGAAAAGTGTTCCTGCCATACATCAAGGGAACCACTGACCGCATAGGGAAGCTGATGAGGAAACACAACATACAAACAATCTACAAACCCACCAAGAAAATCCAACAAATGCTACGTTCAGCAAAGAACAAGAGGGATCCTCTCACCTCTGCAGGAGTCTACCGTATACCATGCAGCTGTGGACAAGTCTACATAGGGACCACCAAACGCAGCGCCCAACCAAGATCAAGGAACATGAAAGGCACTGCAGACTACTCCAACCAGAGAAATCAGCCATAGCAGAGCACCTGATGAACCAACCTGGACACAGCATTTTATTTCAGAACACAAAAATGTTGGACCACTCTCACAACCACCATGTCAGACTACACAGAGAAGCCATTGAAATCCACAAACATGTGGACAATTTCAACAGAAAGGAAGAAACCATGAAAATGAACAAAATCTGGCTACCAGTATTAAAAAATTCTAAAATTGCAACAGCAAAAACAGCAGAGAGAAAAACAGGCAGGGACATCTAATCACCTTTCAAGAAGAGTTTGCTCCAGGCACAGTCAGCCCATTGTATGCTAATCAAGGTGGTCAGTGGAAAGATTCACACCTAGCCCAACTTACAAAAGCCCTTTGTCTCACCCTGGTCATTCCACAGATATATAAACCCATTTTCCTACTTCCACCAGACCTCACTACCTCTGAGGATGCTTGCCATAGATGCAGGCGAAACGTCAGGGAAAATGCCTCTAGAACATGGCCATACAGCCCGAAAAAACCTACAACACAAGAACTGTATTGTTTTTGTTTATTGTTTTATTGATGTGTTGTTGGGCTTTGCCTCATGTAAACCGCTCTGAGTCCCCTTGGGGAGATGGTGGCGGGGTATAAATAAAGTTTTGTTGTTGTTGTTGTTGTTGTTGTTAAAAATAGTCTTTAATAGAATAGCATATACTGGACATTGCAAGTTATGTTGTAGTGCAAATGATAATGTCAGATTCCAAAGGGTATCACAGAAACTCTTCCACTTTCTTCACATCATTCAGTGGCTGTAGCAGTAATTGTCTGTGCTTTAATTTTTCAGCATTTAACTGTATTTCTGCTGCTGCTGAAGCAGAAAAATTCATGTAAATCTAGAAGACAAGTTCCCACCTCCCACACATCCTGCATTTTAACAAAGTGTGGCTTCAGTACTCGCTTTGTCACTTTAATTTTATCTACATCTCAAATTTGAGGGAAAAATCCTTAGTCTCCCTGCAATGCACACACCCACACTTATACAGGGAAAAGAATTTGGATGCCCAAGGTTTGCTTGCAGCCCTGGACAAAATCCAATTGTTAATCCCAACTGGGAAAAAACCATTGAATCGATAGGATTCAATGAATCAAATTAGGTAAGGCCATTAATCGAATTTGATTCTCTGTGGATGACTATTCTACAAGCCTGTTCAGAAGTTTGCAGTGCAAACACAAACCTATTCTCTGTTTTTTGACATACATTTTTGTTATTTTGAATAACTATCACAGTAAAACTCAGCTCACAATGCACCAACATAATCATTTGTCAGCAATGTTGTGCAGTTTTTCAACTATTTTGCCAAGGAGGGAAAATGCTAAAAAGCAGACTTTTCACATCTATTTTGAGGATCTTCTATCTTTCTTAATAATGGAAGCTGCCACTGTTTTGTGCTCAGGAATAAATGCTAGTATGCAAAATGATTAAAATTAACTGAATGACACTAATGAAAAGGCAGGTGTTAAAATCATCTTCACAGTTATGAAAACTATATAATTACATTGTTCCTATGTGTGCATATGCTAAATTGTTCAATAGAAATGGTAAAGCCTATATGGAAAATACCTTCTTAAAAATACTATTCACTACAGCAGAACCAAAATTGTTACAAATTTCTCCTTCAGGGAATTGACATTTAAAAAATACCTTTCTCCAGGAGAATAGCAGCAACCCAATTGCTCTGTGAAGAAGTTGAAATGCAAACTATTTCATTTTGGTACATATAATTATTAATCTATTTCTCCAAATGGGTAACAGTAAAAAGTTTTTATTTTATTTTTTTAAAAAAAATAACAATCCAATTCCATAAAGTCTACAAGGGTATAAAACCAGTAATACAACACAACTAGCATCAAAATTTCACAGGCTGCAAAATTATAAAAAAAATCAAATGCTCTTGGAAACACTAAAAGGGTTTAAGCAGTGGTTTATTGTGTGTGTTTACATGGTTTCTGACTTATGGTGACCCTATGGTGAACCTATCATAGTTTTCTTGGCAGGATTTGTTTAGAAAAACTTTGCCTTTGCCTTCCTCTGAGGCTGAGAGACTGTGATTTGCCCAAGGTCACCAGGTGAGTTTCCATGATTGAGGTTGGATTTGAATCCTGGTCTCCAGAGTGAGTCAAAAGCTCAAACCACTAGACCACAGGTTACTTGTCATCCATTCTTCCTCTGCCCAACAAGAACAATACTTTATTTATTGTTGCCTATACAACTATGGAGTACAATCTTATTAAATGGTGCATGGATGATTTCACGAAATTAGCATGTTAGCTAGTGTTATATTTAGTCTTACTGACTCACTAAACACTAAAATGGGAAGTGTACAAGAGAGAGAAGTGTCAGTCAGCAGAGGCAAGCATTAGTTTAGATAGATGCTTGCAAGCAAGTTCCAACCCTCAATGTCTACAACTGGGAAATAATATAGCATGTCACCAGAGTGAATGTCCAAGATGAGGCACTCTCCTCCAGTTGTTTTTTTTCAGGAACACTGTTTACTTGCTTCTCCTGTTATCATTTACTGGAGTAGGAACCCCCAGTGCCACAATGGGTTAAACCTTTGTATCAGCAGGACTGAAGACTGACAGGTTGGAGGTTTGAATCCAGGAAGAGCACGGATGAGCGCTCTCTGTCAGCTCCATCTCCCCATGCAGGGAGATGAAAAAGCCTCCCACAAGGATAGTAAAACAACAAAACACCCAGGCATTGCCTGGGCAACATCCTTGCAGACAGCCAATTCTCTCACACCAGAAGCAACTTGCAGTTTCTCAAGATGCTCCTGACCTAAAAAAAATTATTGGAGTGGAAGGATATGTACCTCTTGCTTCTGGATTTCAAGGCACTAAACTCTGCCCCCCCCCCCCCCCCCCCCCCCCCCCCGGAATGCCCAGGGAGGCTTTTAAAATAATTTTCACTCAGACAGCTCATTCCCTATTTCATGCATAAACTGCTAAGGCATTGTTCATTCCTATATGCTCATATGTACTCTATTTGATTTAAATGCACTTTTAGTCTCTGGTGTACCTGAAAAGCTTTATGCACCAGGAATTCCATTTTCTCTTTTATACACAAAAAGAAGGTAATGATTTTTATTCTGTTATTAGACATTTTCAAACATGAGTTGGAAGGTAACGTATTGGAGATGCTGCATTAGCAGAAGATTGGTGAACTAATTGATCTTTGAGGTTCCTTCAAAGGTCCTCCACAATTGTTCAAACCATTCAATAGAAACAAACTTTCCATAACTAACAGACATCATTAAGATGTCTCAGTAAATGGCTAAATATATCTATTCTACATGAAATGTATCTATTGTCATTGCAAATGAATGCTATTTTTTCTGAATATTAGAATCCAAAGCATGAAGTCATGATAATTTTTGTGCCTTCTGCAGATTCTCACCTGTTTAAGTAAGGCACTTAGGCTTCTTTTAAGTACAGAAAGTTCTTAATGCACAATGATATGCTCAATTAAATTTCAGAGTATTCTGAGTTCAAAAATACTATTTACCTTTTACTCATGAAATTAGCAAATTGGCAGATTGGTTCAAACTCTAGTTCTTTCAGACAACTTCTATTCACTTTTTAAATCACAGTTTAAAAAAGGAATTTAGACATATTTTATAATATTTTATGCATCCTAGAATGAAGTGTATGCCAAGAACAGAATGCCTTGCTTTGTTTTTCATTATTGCACTTGGCAATGTCTTGTATTGTGATTGTCAAATGCAAGCAATTTGCCATATGGAATGAAATATTTCAATTATTGTACCTGTGGAAACTAGGAAAGTACCTTTGCAACTAGAATGTAGACTGCATTAAATGTTTTGAATACTGTGAAAAGTACATGAAATGTATGTGTTACATAATGTACTGCTCACACAAATGTCTGGCTGATACCCTATAATTTTATGTAGTATAATTCTGTTCTATTGTAAAAAGTCTCCCCCATGAGGTACACTGAATCAAGAACAGATTTGAAGGAAAGAAAAACTGGAGAACTACTTTCTGTTTTAATACTTAATGGTCAATATTTTCATGTGTTTTTATAATCTTGTTGGTTAATTGTTTGTACTGCAATTGTTTGTTTGTTGGCATCTAATGATTGCCCTGACCTTGAGGGAGCTGGGGGTGGTAATGGCCGACAGGGAGCTCTGGCGTAGGCTGGTCCATGAGGTCACGAAGAGTCGGAGACGACTGAACGAATGAACAACAACAACAATGATTGCCCATTGTAAGCTGCCTTGAGTCCTCATTCGGAGGTTTAGAAGAACGGGAACTAAATGTTTGAAATAATTAATTAATTGGGTTGTTGTAGGTTTTTTCGGGCTGTATGGTCATATTCTAGTGGCATTCTCTCCTGACGTTTCACGTGCATCTATGGCAAGCATCCTCAGAGGTTGTGAGGTAATAAATAAATAAATTGTGATGATAATTGGTCACAGGCCCAGGGACACATTTGTGTCCTC